GTATTGAAGACAAGCTGAGACATCCAGCCTCATGGACTGAACAACTACTGGATTTTGGGACTTTCTGTTGGTAGACAGCCAGTGTTGGACTAGCTAGACCACAGCCTGTAAACCATTCTAATAAATCCCCTTTATACGTACAATATATATGTCTCTCTATATAATATATAGTCTATTATATATGTCTATATATTCTAATATTATATATCATATGTGTATATATGTCTATATATCATATATAAACATGTATTTATTAGAATAATAAGTTTTATTTATAAAATATGTATTATATAGAGAGATATAATATCTAATAAATATGTAGAGAGAGCTATGCAGATGTATAGAGAGATTCATTCTGTAAGTTCTGTTCCTCTAGAAAACCCTAAGTAATAGAAAAGCCAGAGCCACAGAGGATAGCACTTTATACTTCACAGGACGGCCAGTATCAAAAAACAAGTAAAGCAAGTGTCAGTGAGGGTGTGGGAAGAAGAGAGCCTAATGCTGCTGGTAAGATTGTAAGTTGGCAGAGTGTTTTGGAAAACATGAAACTTCCTTTTAAAAATTAAAAAATGCATTGCCCTCTGATACACCTATCCCACACGTGATACACAGCCAGGCGAAAAGAGAGTGGATCTCGGGGACACTGATGGACTCATTCCTTCAAGGCAGCACCACAAAAGTACTGATGTGTGTATGGGTAAGAAAATCAGATGTGGGGGCTGGAGAGATGGCTCAGTGGTTAAGAGCACTGGCTCCTCTTACAGAAGACCAAGGTTCAGTTACCAGCACCCACATGGTGACTCACAACCACCTGTAACTCCAGTTCCAGGGGATCCGATGCTCTCTTCTGACCTCCACAAGTACCAGGAACACACATGGCAAACAGATATAGATGCAGGCAAAACATTCATACACACAAAAATAAATAAATAAATAAATAAAAATACTAAAAGCGGAGGAGGGGGAACCAGATGTGTACGTGCAATGGAATGCTAGTCAGGCATGAAAAAGAAGTAACCTCTGTCATTAGCGACATGAATGACTTGAGAGGGTTTGGGCTAAGTGAAAGGTTGGAGAAAGTTTGTGTCTAGATGGATCTAAATGCTTGAGCTTCTAGAAGTAGGAGAATGCTGGTCGCCAACAACCTGGAGGGGCAAAATGTGGACATTCGTGCCAAAGGTATAGATGTTCAGGACAAGATAAAGATTTTGGGTGCCCGGGTCTCGGAGACCTTCATGGATGGCAGAGTGATAAGCTACGGAAGGCAAGAAGGCAGTCTGGTTCAACACAACTCAGTAGCCAGTGTTGGTTCAAACCTCAGGAGTCTGACCCTGAGGGTTTGTTTTAGGTATATTTAAGTACAGCACAATTTGGTGAAAACTATTCTACTGATAATTAACTCATTCCCACGTGCACAACAAAGCATACATACATCTCCTTGAGGAACAAAGTAAGCGAAATGCAGATCAGACATGATTACATGGAAACTCTCTGTAAAGTCTGTAAAGATAGGTTCTGTAGATTGACTGAACATTAAGATAAGGGTCTAGGGGCATCCTGTGCCAGAAAAGTCTCCAGCCACAGAGACAGCACAAAGGTCACCAGGCTAGAAAATAGTCCATTGCAGCCTTCTGGGTGTATAACAGGTTTTGCATTCCTTCCCTTGAAGGAAGAATCTTCTGTGCTTAACATCCCAGGTTCCCCTAATGCTTGTGTGAGCACAAAGACCTCCATGCTCCTACCCTTGGGATCTAATACAATGTATTCATGATGAGTGTAATTAGCAGCCCTGCATTACACACTTGAAGTCACTACATTATAATAAAAAATACAATATTATACACTTCAAATTTACTAAGAGAGTTGAGCTTAACAAAGAATGTAGCCATGGTTTTGGGTGCGTTAACATGATTGCTGTTGTCATATCTTGATCTACATGTACATCAAATCAACATCTGCACTTTAAATATAAGCCAACTTATTTGTCAATTATACCTCAACAAAGCGATAAACATCAAGTCCAATTCAGCGAACACACTAGCACTGCTGACGAGGCTGGGTTCGCAAACCACTAGTTTGGTATTTGTTTCTAAAGGATTCTGTCCGCTCCTGCTCGCTTTTCTCCTGCCCCTGTGGGTGATTTTGCTCCTGTCCCATCTTTCTTGCACTGTTGGAGTGATAGAGTCTTGCCTGAACATGCACCTGACTTCTCATACCGTGTTCTCTTCCTGCTAGCCTAAGGGGATCTACAAGGACAGAGCTCCATTGGTGGCCCTCACTGCCTCCATGTTGTGCTGCCAGCACCACGGTTCTCCACGTTACAGACCCACAATGCATCATGGGGATCTGGGGGTTTCTTGTTTGGTTTTTGTTTTGTTTTGTTTTTTTGTTTTTTGTTTTTTTTTTTTTTTAATGGTAGCACTCACACTATTTTTTTTTTAAGATTTATTTATTTATTGTGTATAATGACTGCAGGCCAGAAGAGGGCACCAGATCTCATTACAGGTGGTTGTGAGCCACCATGTGGTTGCTGGGAATTGAACTCAGGACCTCTGGAAGAGCAGTCGGTGCTCTTAACCTCTGAGCCATCTCTCCAGCCCTTGTTTGTTTTGTTTTAACACATTTAAGCAAGACATGCATTTGCCTGCATCCCAAGTGTTCTTCCTTCCTTTGCATAGATCCAGAATTCCGACTGGAATCACTCTCCTCCCCTTGAGGCTTTCAACAGATCTGAATAAGAACATAAACTCTTGCAGCCTTTGCACATCTGAAGAGATCTTTAGTTCACCTTCCCCCACCCCGCCCCCCTGGCTGTGGGTCTTTCTTCTCCCAGGTCTCCATCAGCCCCTCCCCCTGCTGGCCTCCTGGCTGCTGGCAGAGACTGGAAGCTGGCTGCCCTCTGAAGCTGGGTGAACCTCATTCTAGGCGTTCTTTAAAGATTTTCCTCTGAGTAGGTCCCCATTGCTGAGCCTCGACGTCCTTGGCCTCATAATTCTTACACTTGTGTTCAAGGTTTGCAAGGACTCTTGGTTTCTAGTTTATATCAAATTTGCAACATTTTTGCCAATATTTCTTTAATTTTTTTGTTCCCCTCTGTCTTTCAGACACCCCAACCACACATGAAGTTCCTCAGATCACTAGTTTTGTCTTTCAGCCTTATCTCTTCATGAGTTATTTCGTATAGTCCCTGACCGCCGCTGAGGTTCTAGTCCTTTCTTCTGCAATGCTCAATCTGCTGTTAATCTCACACGTTTTTCATTTCGAACACTGATATTTTCATCTCTAGAAGTTCAATTTGGGTCACTTTGAATCTTCTGTATCTCCTCTAGCATACTCATGCCTTGATGAGCATAATGGTATGTTTAAATAGACATTTCTAGACTGGGGATGTGGCTCAACCAGTAAAGTGCTTGCCTAACACTCACAGTCTTAAGTTCAGTCCCCAGCACCATCACACAGAACCAAGCATGACGTCACACACCTGTAATCCTAGCACTCGGGAAGTGGAAGTAGGAAGATCAGAAATTCAAGGTCATCTTCCTGTGGATAACATCAAGGCCAGCCTGGGCTACATGAGACTCCCCTCTAATCTGCTATTTCTTTTTTGTTTTGTTATTCAAGACAGGGTTTCTCTGTGTATCCCTGGCTGTCCTAGAACTAGCTCTGTAGACCAGACAGGCCTTGAACTCAAAGAAATCCACCTGCCTCTGCCCCGAAAGTGCTGGGATTAAAGGCGTGCACCACCATCACCCAGCTCTGATCTATTTCTGTCAATGTGCCCCCTCCTTCCCCACGATGACTGAGCTGAGAGGAGCTTTCCAACGCTCTGTAGCAATCTGTAGGAGCATCTCCTGATGCTGTCTGGTTTCCCCTCCGTGATCCACCGTGCTATCCTGCAAAGATGTACCTGCTGTGGCGCGGGGCAGCCACGGGCTGAACTCTTATTTCCTCTCACTGCCTCGTGTTGCTTGCTGTCCAGTGTCTTAATGCCCCAGACTCTTATGATGCCCAGGTTTCTCACTGTGTTGGAAGGCAAACACTCACTTTCTGTTATCCAGCCTTGTTGCCTGTGGCACTGGGTGAGCTAGCCAGGGCAGTCCTGGAGAACTCACCCTGGTAGTGAGGATGTGGGAGAGCTGGTGGGCTGACCAACTCAGCTACCACCCAGGTCCAGATTCAGGGCTGAGTTGGCCCACCCTAAGATCCACCTCACCTATGAACTTCTGGAGCATGTGAAGGGGCCGGCCCTTTATATCCAAAACTGCAGGATCTCCATGACACAGGGCAGCAACAGGATATCCAAGAGGAGTCCCAGTAAGGATCCAGTATTGATAGTGTAGCAGAAGTCAGAGGTCTCAAACAAGACCAATGACGCATTGCAAAGAACATTTGCAAATAAAGATGTATGGACTAAAATAAAAGGAATACAATGGCAAGTCCCTGGAGTGATTTAAGAAGGGAACTACCGAGTTGGATTTGAATTTCAGAATGGTCACCCTGGATAGAGGCCAGTGAAAGATCCTAGGAAAACATGGAACATATTCCATGACAATGAATCCTGGTGAAGTCTGAACACTAGCAAGAAGAGCTTTTGGTGGCCAGTCACTGGGTGCCTGTGTGCATTCTGTGGCTTTAGGCCAAGGGAGCTTTTCTAATGGGAAAGGCTAAGAGTGATGGTTGTACACATGCACACTTTGTCTACATGGATGCAGAGTCGTCTCTGGAGTCCCAGATGTGGCCCTCGAAACATCTAACGTATCTGTTCTGCTCTGTACCAGAAGTGGGGATCATTTTATTCTAAAAGAGAGGTCAGAACAGACTTCCAGGAAAAGGCACCAACATCCTGGGTTCACCATGCATTAGATGTGGGGGTCTTGGATACATGACCTTTCGCTTTCTCACTGGCTAAATGTATACGATATGGTTGTGAAAGTAGAGTGACCCCAGAGAGCCCTGAATTGCCACAACCTTTAATGTTGTTGCCGTTCTTTCCACCGTAGGCCTATCTGGATCCAGAAGAGGATCAGAGAACAGAGGATCGGGAAAGTATATGCTGTTACTCTAAGATCCCTGATTTTCAAAGAGGACACTAAGACCATGTCCCCCAGAGGATAGCACCAACCCCATCAGCACAAGCAAACACTGCTGAGACCTCCCAACCCGGTCACCCTGTCAGGGACCAGCCACAGGCCAGAACACCATATGGGGCATGAAGTGTTCTGAGGCTAGTACATACCCATCTGAGACCTTAGGCAAGTCCACTGACCGTCGCAGGGAGCCTGGAACCATTCCCCATAGGCATATCCTGGTGAAATTCCTGAACTTTGTTAGTGAAAACATGAAGGCTTACAGAGAAGTTTACTTATAAGCTGGGGGGCGGGGGGATCAACCTGGCCTGCTGCTGGAAGCCACGGTGCCTTTAGATTACAGAGGAAAATCCATAGCTCATAAACCTGCCTCAAGCACACCAGCATCACATCAGGGTGACTGGATGGCCTCCGCAAGTTTGGAGATATTTAAGATGCACAGTCATGGACATCTCTGTCTGCAGGAAATGCCACAGAAGAAAGCAAGCCTATCAAATTAGGCAACAGTAGATTTAAAAGTCAAAATTCAGATGCATCCTTAAAACCAAGTGACTTTAAAAATGGAAAACAAAGGCTAAGGTGGAGATAACAAGGAAACGCAAATGTAGGACAGGGTAGAAAGAGACCCGAGAAAGCAGCGAAAGGTACTCTTAAATGTTAAAGAACAAACAGCCACAGTCACCAGACATGGCAACTAAACAGGGCAAGCAGAGATGAGGAAATCCAAGAGAACGCTTTTAAATATGTGGCGGGGCTGGAGAGATGGCTCAGCGGTTAAGAGTACTGGCCGTTCTTATAGGGGAGTGGGGTTTGGGTCCCAGCACCCATATGGTGGCTCAGAACTGTAACTCCAGTTCCAGGGGTGTCTGGCATCCTTGGGAACCAGGCACACACACACTGTACATTCACACATACAGACGGACAGACAAAACACTCATACACATAAAATAAAAATAATTTTTTTTCTAAAATATGATTACTTAGGAAATTTTAAGTATTCCTCTTCCAAAAGAAAAGGCTATAACAGGAAGTGCATTAGAGAATGCAATCATGCAGTTACAGATGATATAGACTCACATTTAAACAACATAAATCTCAGATTGCCAATTATTTGTCAACGTCACCTATAAACTTCACAACAATAAGTTTTCATAAGGCATAAAGATTGTATTTATTTTAAAGATTATTTTTATTTTTCAAATTATGCATATGCACCTATATCTGAGTATGGTCTTGCATATGTGTGTGCACAGTGTCTTCAGAGGCCAGAAGGTGAAGATGCCTGGAGCTGGAGTTGCAGGCGGGTGTGAGTCACCTGACATGGGTGCTGGGAACTGAACTTGGATCCTCTGAAAGAGCAATGTGGGGTTTTAAACACTGAGCCATCTCCTCAGCTTCCTAAAACATAAGATTTTAGAGACATCTATTTTATCCTAAAACAATCATAGGAAATAAAGTTAAAAGATACTCTTCAACTTAAAAAAAATGGAGATGAATGAATAACAAAGCCGGGCATGGTGGCGCACACCTTTAATCCCAGCATATGAGAGGCAGAGGCAGGCAGATCTCTATGAGTTCAAGGCCAACCTGGTCTACAGAGTGAGTTCTAGGACAGCCAGGGCTACATAGAGAAACTCTGTTTCAAGAAAACATAAAATAAAAGGCAAAAATTATAAAATAAATATAACTGGCTAATCTCATTCAAAGCGATGGGATGCTAAAGACATTTTAAAGTTGAGACCGAAATGTAATCTCCTTCAGCCTGTCACCCATACTGTTTCAGACTGTCAAATGCAGTGTGCCAAAAAGAATATGTAGTTCTTATAAACACTGGGAGGAAGGTATTTTGATTTTTCCAAAATATTTGCAAAACTCAAGACATTCTAAGTGGCAGTGTATTTTTGAAGCAATAGGCTTTTCTCTGCACTAATGATACCAATTAGAAGTGGAATGAACAGAATGTGCCTTCCAGTAGTTCTATAAAGCAAGGACAAATGGTGTCCGGCTTGAGCTCCGTGTTCGGGTCATGTCAGACATTCCGGTTTCCCATATCCATGCAGTTGTGCTCTGTGCCTCTGCCTGACATGTATCCCACCGGCAACATGTCTCCACACCATAAACTGCTGCCCTTTTAAGCCCGGCTCAACACTCACCTCTTCGGATTTCTTCTCCTTCTGAGTTAATTCCCATTAGATAAACCTCCTCTGCAAAGGGAGAACAGAAAAAATTGAAAGCCAGGAGCAAGGGGGAAGCTGGGTAGGAAGGCAGCTGGGAAGGCTGGAGAGTGGAGGATGGGCGAAGGGTAAGTGCAGCCCTGTGGGAGCTCTTGCCAAGACCTCAGATGAGCTGTGAGGAGCCCATTCATTCCTCTAGCTCCCTCTTTCCCACTCCCACTACCCCACCCTGCTCAACTCTCACCTCTCCCAGACTCTAACTCCCTGGTGGTATCTTCCAATTTCAGACTTAGACATCAAGGATGTCATAGCCCTAGAAAACAACACTCGAGTAAGCCCGTACCGCAGACAAAGCTCTGTTGACCCTGTGCTTCAGGACGCTATGTTCGGCACACGGAGGGTAGGTCTGCTGAGAGACTGGTCAAGCAAGGCTCCTGATGATCGCAAGCTGAAGAGCCTCATGGAGAAGGGCACAGAGCCCAAGATAGAGTCAGCCAAGATGCTGAAGCCGGAGGAGGTGCTGAGCTGCCGGTAAGCACCACTGGGGTGCGTGGGCAGGCCGAGGACAGCAGTGTGTGAATGCATGCATGCCTGATCATGGAAAGGACAGGCCTAGTACATCAGGCCATAGACCCACACTTGGACATGGAGGGGGCAGGCCTAGAACATCAGGCCATAGACCCACACTTAGACATGGATGGGGCAGGCCTAGGACATTAGACCATAGACCCACACTTGTTCATGGAGGGGGCAGGCCTAAGTCAGCAGTGTGTGAATGCATTCTTGGACATGGAGGGGACCAGCTCAGCCCTACCTGGCCCTACCTGGCAAAGGATTGCTACAAGGCTAAAACCCTGGGTTTCCCAGCAGTCTTTACTGCCAGAGGCTACAAGCAATATATTTACTCCTATTAAAATTCCCCTGATGGACAGCCAGGTGGGGGCTGCCATTTTGAGCTCTGCCACTGGAAATCCAAATTTTCCATTTGCCTCACAACAGAAGCCATAGGGATTCATCAAAAGGAAAACACAGGTTGCCTGCGGCTTTTTTCTCATAAAGAAACTGCCCTGAGTCCTTCCACTCTGGTGAATTTGAGCGACAGTATCTGTACTGGTTGCTCTTCCATTGCTCTGGTAAATACCACTACCAAGGCAACTTATATGAGAAGGGGGTTATTTGGGGTTTATGGTTCCAGAGAGATGAGAGAGTCTGTCATGGCGGGAGGTCCATCAGCACACTTGGTAGCAGCGGGTCTGGTGGCGGGAACAAGAAGCTGAGAGCTCGTATCTCCAAAGACAAGCAAGAAGCAGGGTACAAACTAGAAGTGGGGTGAGGCTTTTAAGTTCTCAGAGCCCGCCCTCAATTACACACTTCCTCCACTGAGGCCACTCCCTCCTAAACCTCCCCAAACAGTGCCATCCACTGGAGGACCAAGTATTTAAACACCAGAGCCCAGAAGGGACATTTCTCATAGTGTCACTGTCCCCAGTGACCTTCTGCTGTGTTTGGGGTTAGATTCCCAAGACAACCATGAACTGTTTGGTTTCTGTCTTCCCCACTTCCTTTTCCACTGCTGGAATGGAACCCGGGTCCTTGCAGGAGCTAGGCAATGTTCCACCACTAAGCCACAGCCCCACCTATCTCTGGCTCACTCTCCACCCATACCGTGTCACCAGGTCTCCCCTCTGAAAACACCCAAGGCCGGTGTCATCCTTAATGAGGAGTAACAGGCAAGGTTAAAACCCTTTAGCTGAGGAGGAATCGAGGCCACAGGATAACAGGGTCACCCTCAACAAGCTGGCAGCAATATAGCCATCTTGGATGACAGAGCAGCCACAGTGCCCAGGTGTGTGCTGTCCATTGCTCCTGGAGACTGAGATGAGGCAGGGATGGAGCCAATGAGAGGCCACACCTGACCTCTGCCCTCCTCACAGGGACAAGCCATGATGTAGCTCTAATTGGCTCCACAATGGTGCCTTCTTTCCCAGAGAGAGCAGGAACACTGGGGCAGGTGGCATCTGTAAAGTCATCAGGGAGGCACCTAAGACAAGGGTGAGATGGTGGAATGGGCTCTTAAGGAAGCCACAGGTGAAAGTGCCAACCCACCCACACCTCCCAGGTAGGCTGCCCTGGGGTCAAGGGAACTGGGGCCACCAGCCAAGGCAGTACAGGGGCAGAACCCAAGCACAGGCAAGGCAGGAAGCCCCGTGATGACAACACAGCTCCTCCCTGTCCCCCAGAACCAGCCTCTGCTAAAGCTGGGACCAAGAAGTCAGCAGATTAGCACACACCATCATCCCAGCACTCCGGAGTTGAGACAGGAGGATTGTCTCAGCTGCCTGAGCTACATCATGAGGTCCTGTCTCGGCATAGATAGATAGATAGACAGATAGATAGATAGATAGATAGATAGATAGATAGATAGATAGATAGATAGATAGACAGACAGACAGACAGGTGAAGTGATTGAGTATAAAGCTGGCCCCAAGGTCAAGGTTGACAGTGAAACCAGGAACTCTGTCTGGATCCCACACACAGCACAGATGGGATCAATTTCACTCCTCAGCAAAAGTCAGGATTACAAGGCTTTAGAAAACAGTTTAAATCAATGGCCTTGATTTAATACACACACACACACACACACACACACACACACACACACACACACACACACACACACACGCACTGAATTAAAGGAAGGCATGTATGCCTGTTCATGCAGCTCTGTGTATGCACACTCAAGTCCCCCAGCCTTGACTCAGATCCACCTCCTGCCGCAGTGCCTAACATACCACATTCCACCCAAATTAACACATACCCACATCCCACATTAGCCATGTCCTCTTTCTTCCTGATGCCATTTTAATCAAGTCTTCCAAATGGGATGGCCCATTCTTTACCAGATTGTCACTTTGTTGATGGACTTCCTCATTCCCCCAATGAGCATCTGTCTTCCTGTAACATAGCTTCTCTTTACTTCCATGGACCTCATGCTTGAGTCAATGAAAACTGGCCTGTTTTCTCTGCAGATAACCAGGGTGATGCCTAACAGGTTGATTTCCAAGAGTTACAGTACCATGAGCCCCTACCACCTTCTATCAGGGACACAGGGAGTCAGGCCAAGGTCTCTTGCCGACCTCCTACTGCCCAAAGCCAACCCATATCCCCACCGTTTCTTGAGACAGGGTTTCTCTGTGTAGTTCTGGCTGTCCCAGAACTCACTCTGTAGACCAGGCTGGCCTCAAACTCACAGTAGATCCACCTGCCTCTGCCTCCCGAGTGCCGGGATTAAGGGTGTGCACTACTACACCAAGCCCACAGCCAACCCTTTTTTAGTGAAAGCCAGGTCCCACGACTCCTTGTCACCTCTCCCTACCTTCTCTTGAAGGTACCTGCGTTTGTCCAAGAACAACATCAAGACCTTGATCAAGCTGTGCAAGGATGCAGGGATGGATGTGGAAATCCACCCACACATGGTAGAGGCCGAGATAGACGCCAAGAAGATATTCGAACATCGTAACAGCACAGCACTGTAGTAGTGCTGCCCCCTGGAGGCTCCTCCCATGTGGCCTGAGCACCCTGGGGATTGGCTTCCCTAAACTGCTCCAGTCGACACTGCCCACTGGAGGCTCCTCCCATGTGGCCTGAGCACCCTGACGATTAGCTTCCCTAAACTGCCCCAGTTGGCACTGCACACTGGAGGCTCCTCCCATGTGGTCTGAGCACCCTGAGGATTGGCTTCCCTAAACTACACGGGTTGAACAAGTCAAACGCATCACCACTAGCTGGTGTCAGCTTTGTCTTTGGCTCCGCCTTGCATCAACCCAGGAGTGACTGGGAAGAGAGGCTCCTTGAGAATGTTTCCTGGGTGCAGTGGCATTGGCCTGTATTCAGCACAGGTGGAAGCAGGGGAACCAAGAGTTAAAAGTTCAAGGCCAACTTGGGGCTGTGTGAGGCCCTGTCCAAAACACCAAAATGGGAGTGGGGAGTACAAAGCTTTTTCAAACTGCTTCTTAGGAGAAAACGCTTCTTGAGCAAGAAAATAGGGCTCTGAGTCCCTAGAGGAACTTCAGAGAAGAGAAAAAGTTGAACACCTGTCTGGAGACACATGGCACTGCCCTATGAAGGACATAGCTGTGTGGAGAACTGGCCCATGTGTAGGCCTAGGGCTGGTGGCTGATGTCCTCTCTTGTAAGGACTGACTTCACGGTAACACCAGTTTTATCTATTATCCATTCTTTTCCCACCAGGTGTGTTGCATGGCTTGCTAAATTCCTCTTGTGGTCCATTGAGACCCCAGGTCCCACCAACAGAAGCAGGTCTACTTGTCCAGAAGCTCTGTCCCACATGTTCTGGACCTGTGTGCAACACAAAGTTCCCAAAGGGAAAGCTAGAACAGCCCGAACTCTCAGGAAAGTGTGCAGGGTAGGTAATCCCAAGAGGGTGCTTGTAGTCCCTAAGACAGAGGGGTGAGCTGGTGGGCAGCCTGTGCACAATATGGAGTCAAATCCCTGGAGAGGAGATCTTAGTGTGCTAGGGAGGATGGCTTCCTAGAGGAAGATACTACTTTTGTTATTTGTTTTTGTTTTGGTTTTTGTTCATTTGTTTGTTTTTGTTGTTTTTGTTTTTGTTTTTCAAGACAGGGTTTCTCTATGCAACATCCCTGGCTGTCCTGGAACTCGCTTTGTAGACCAGGCCATCCTCGAACTCACAGAGATCTGCCTGCCTCTGCCTGCCAAGTGCTGGGATTAAAGGCGTGCGCCACCACCGCCAGAATAGGAACTATTTTTATTGAGAAACAAGAATGCCCGGATCTGTATGAGAGAAGGAAGGGCAGGCAGAGAGAACAGAGCATGCAAGGGCTCAGCTGCCAGGAGAACACAAAGGTCAGGAACCTGCAGTTAAGTCTGGATGGAGGGGCCACTGACAGCAAGAGCAGGGAGAAGAGATAGCAGCCTTGTTTTGTTGGCATGCAACAGCCTCATGGTCCAACATTTCCTATTAGTGCACATCGGCACACTTACTCACGTGGGCACCAGAGACATGCTAGCTGTTCATAGCAGCCCTGTTTGGTGTATCCAAAGGCTAGAATCAGGTCTGGACCCATCAGCACAAGACCTGGGGTCTGTTCACACAACAGACTACTATAGACAAACCAGGACCCATGTAGAAGTTAACCAGGTCAAAACGTACAAACAGCACCACGCAAAAGTAGCAAAACTCAAGGGACTGTACCTTGATTCCCATGTAACAGCCTTCAGCCAGGAACTTCCAGTGTTAGAAGCCAGAGTGGGATAGCTCTGTGGAATGCAGGACTGGGGAGACTATGAACACTCAATGAGCTGTTCCTTGGGAGTGTCTGCCTTTTGTGTGTGCCGACCTTTGAAGTACACATGGGCAGGAGGGATGGCTCAGTGAGTAAGGAGCTTGCCACCCACACAGGAGGACCTGAGTTCAAATCCCCAGCACCCATGTGAAAACTAGATGCAGTGGCACATCTGTAATCCCAGGACTCCTGACCTGGAAGCCCTCAGGTCAGCTAGCCTGGTGTGCCCACCAAAAGATACCCTGTCCAAACAACATGGAAGGTAAAAAGTCAGATTCTCCCCTGACCTCCACACTCACGCCGGGGCATGCCCCACCATGCTGACATGGACAGACACACACACACACACACACACACACACACACACACACACACACACACCACAGTTAAGCCAGGTGTGGAGATGTATGTCTGTCATCCCAGCAGTCAGGTGACTATAGCAAGAGAATTGTGAGTTTCAGGCCAACGTGGGTAGACCCTGTCTCAAACACAGAAGATAAAAGTGTATGCAGAACATTTATACCTAGTCTTGATAACAAAGTTCTGGTTTCATGTTTGAAAAAAAAGCCTCTGAGGAGGACCCCAGCTTAGACTCCTAGCAATGGAGTCTAATAGTCTAATAGTAGATAAGTAGCTTGAATTGGCTGTCTCCTGTGACCAGATTGGTGCCTGGCCCAATTGTCATCAGAGAGGCTTCATCCAGCAACTGATGGAGGCAGATGCAGACCCACAGCCAAACATTAGGCAGAGTACGGGAGGAGGGGAGAAAGGAGTGTAGGAACCAGAGGGGTCAAGGACACCACAGGAAGGCCCACACAGTCAACTAACCTGTGCTCAGAGGGGCTCGTAGAGTCTGAATCAACAACCACGGAACCTGCGTGGGACTGGCCTAGGCATTCTGCATGTATGTGACAGTTGTGTAGCTTGGTCTTCTTGTGGGACTCCAAACAGCTGGAACAGGGGCTGACTCTGACTCTTTCACTGGCTTTTAGGACCTTACTTCTCATACTGGGTCTTGCCCAGTCTTACCACATGGGGAAGGGCCTAGCCTTACTGCAACTTGATATGCCATGTTTTATTGAAACTCACAGGAGGCCTGTCCTTTCCTAGAGGGGATTGGGGGATGGGGACTAGGAAGTGGGGGAGAGGAACTGGGAGGTGAGGATGGAGGGAGGCTGTGGCTGGGATGTAAAAAAGAATGAATAAAAAATTGGGGGGGGGGGGAGATTCAGCCTTGAAGGCAGTCTCCCACTGGCCGGCCTGCCTTCCTTCCCAAGCGTTTTCCCTCTAGAGGCCACCAGGTGGCACTCGATCCCAGCACAAGATGCTCGGCTGGAGGCACCCACAGGCGTCCACTCAGCTGCGGGCAGAGCCACAGGCCCATCCAAGGAGACTGGACATTCCAGCCTGAGCTCAGAGAGGCACCCACGCAGCCATTCACAACCCAGCTGAGGGCCCCTGGGCATGTCACTTTCCTGAGGCTGTGATCCTTCCCCCAAATAGGATCAAAAAATGTATTTAAAACAGAGTGGTATCCATGTATGTCAGCTAGACAGACATGAGGAGACTTAACAAGAATGCGAGAGGACATTAGAGTTACCGTCACCAAAGGAGGGACCCTCGGTGCCTTGTGGCAGCAGAGCATACATTCCAAGATAAAGCCCACCCTCTGGGCAAGCAGATGACCCTGGCCTGAGTGTGAAACCCAAAGATCAGTACAAACGTACTCATAGATACTCATCCCAGGACATATAGGATCTGCAGGGTCCCAGAGGTCACCCGTGTCTGACAAGAAGATGTGAAATATGACAAGGGACATGCTAGCCCACTACACACACACACACACACACACACACACACACACACACACACACACACACACACACACAGCTTACAATAGGTCACAGGCATGGACGCCTAGGGTGACCAGAATGAAGAAGGGAGGGTGGAGGGAAGGAGGGAGGGCAGGTGGGCAGGCTCCAGTTCAGGGCTGCTGTGAGAACTCTGAGGCGCTCCTCTCCGAGGGCAGCGATCACCCAGGAAATGATCACATTTCTGCTGTGCGGTGAGACACTGGCAGTTTTTAGATGTCTGCCGTGTGCCAGGCAGGGCTCATATACTGCACTGCAGAGTAATGGACACAACAGACCAAAGCCAAACCCCGCCAGCCTGGAGCTGACGTGCCAGCAGCCTTGAGTGTTCTTCCACACTCGAGGGCGAGGAAAATGCCACCCTGGCCTAAGTCAGGGATGGTGCATCTGATTTCACACTCAGTCTCACTGGACAGTGGGAAATCCGTGGGACCTGGATATACTCCTCACATCCCTGAGGCCAAGGCTTGACCGGAGCACCATCTGGCACCAATCTCAAGGGACTACCAAATCCTGCCAGTCACCATCCAGAACTGCCTCTAGGGTTGTTCCAGGATTCACCACGGCTGTGACATTGCCTCCTGGGGGCCACACAGCCTTCTCTCCCAGCAACAAAGACAGCACCTCCCTGCCACCCTGTTAGAGTCTCCCTCCATGATTCTGCCTGCCTCTCGGCCAGAGTGTGCTTCCAGGAGCCTGGCTTCCGGACTCTGGGCCTTTTGTGTGGACGTGCCTCTGCTCCCTGCCTGGGATAGTTGAGCCAGCATGAAACTGCTGTCCTGGGGGAGGTGGGAGAGATATTCAGAGAACCGAGCACCACAAATTCGCAGCTTTTAAATTCTTTTCCAAGGCTGTGAACAAAACAAATTAAAATGGCAGCAGATATCCCTCATATCAGTCTCACTTCTCAATGGTTAATTTATCCAGCATACTGATGCTACCGAACAGTGGATGTTCCCGGCACCAGCGGCTTTGATGGGTGTTGTGACTGCAAATGATCTGAAGAAAATGTTAGCCATGGCCATACCTGTCATTGGCAAAAGAGAAGTGTCCGGGGCTCTGAAGAAGGTTCAGTAGGTGAGAGCCCTTGCTGGTCAAGCATGTGAACCTGAGTTTGAATCCCCAGCACCCATGTTGAAAAGCCAGGAGTGCGTGTTGCCCCAGTGATGAGGGTGGAGACAGATGGGTCCTGTGAGCTTGCTGGCTACTCAGCATACCTGAAATGGGAAGCTTTGGGTTCAGTAAGAGTCCCTTCCTCAAGAGAATAAAGTGGAGAGCAACAGAGGAAGGCATTCCACATCTTCCTCTGAAAGAGCACACACATGCATGTGTACATACACAGTCACACACACACATACATGTTCCGGGTGTGTGTATGTGTATATGTGAGTGTGTTTGTGTGAATGTGTGTGTATATGTGTGTATATGTGTACATGCATATGTGTGTTTGTGTGTGTGTATCTATATGTATGTAGATGTGTATGTGCATGTATGTATGTGTGTATATGTGTGTATTTATGAGAGTATATGTGTGCATGTGTATGTGTGTAATATGTGTGTATATGTGTATTTGTGTGTGTGAATATATGTATATGTATGTGCGTGCGTGTGTGTGTGTGTGTGTGTGTGTGTGTGTGTGTGTGTGTGTGTGTGACGTCAAGTAGTTTCCAGAATCAGCATTTCTGCTCCAGGTACACATTCCAGGGAGAGTTCATGATGTCCTCTGAAGGAACAACCCCTACCTGTTGGCTCAAGGAGGGCCACATTCTGGAAGAAGGAAGGAAAGGGAGCTTCCCACAGAGCACTGAGCAGCTCCATGGCTGTCTAAAG